TGATTTGATAATGTTTTCCTTTTCATAGGTGTTTATCCCATTTTCATATAATATTTAACAGGTAGAGTTAGTATCTTTTTTATTTTTATTTTTTTTCAAGACAGGCTCTCGCTCTGTCACCTGGGCTGGAGTGCAGTGGCACAGTCATAGCTCACTGTAACCTCAAACTCCTGCGTTTAAGGGAATCTTCCAACTTCAGCCTCTTAAGTAGCTAGGGCTACAGAAACAAGCCACCATATCCAGCTAATGTTGAAATTTAAAAGCAAAGCTTTTCAAATTTTTGATTAAAAATTTTTTTTGTAGAGACACTGTCTTGCTACATTGCCCAGGCTAGTTTCAAACTCCTGGCCTCAAACAGTCCTCCCACCTTGGCCTCCCCAAACACTGGGATTATAGATATGGACCACTGCTCCTGGCCTCATTTTTATTTTGTACTCACTTTCCATTATTACTTTTTGTCCTTTTTTTTAAATGGATCGTGTTAACTTTCCTTAAAAAGCACTTTTGATAATTCAGAAGGTATAAATAGCCTGCTTATTTAAAAACCTTCGCTTGGATAACTTCAGAAACTTAAGAATTATAAACTCAAATTTATACTTCTTGATATACAAACTTCAGAACTAAAGCTGTCTTCTGACTCTTCTATTTGAAAAGTTACTTAAACTTCTTTCCATCAGTCTCTCATTCTTGATTTTTGTTGGTATCCTGTGGGATTTTTGTCTAGTCTAGTAAAATTAAATTATTATCACTTTAAAGTTTTGTAGCTCTTCTTTCAATAATGATGATATTTATATTCTGTTTTACAAATTTTAACCATGTTTTCTTATGATTATATTATTGTTATTTGCCCATGATTAAATTTTTCTAAAATTAAAATTCAGATATTTTTACTTTTTAAATATTTTTTAACCTGTCTATAACTTTCAGCATCAGTGACTTCCTACTGGTAAAATTCAATTGTAAGGAACACTGTTAGCAATCATTTCTGTATGATGAAGCAATTTTAATGTCTTCAAGTGGCTGACAGTATTTTGTTTATTAAGTTACAAAGAATTAGCTTGCAGCTGGGTGCAGTAGCTTATGCCTGTAATCTTAGCACTTTGGGAGACTGGCAGGAGGATCACTTGAGGCCAGGAGTTTGAGACCAGCCTGTGCAACATGGTGACACCCTGTCTCTATTTTTTTAAAAAAAAGAAAAAGAATTATCTTCCACAAATTATCCTAAATAACAATTTATCTGTGCCCTGATCATTGCTATGCTGTAACCAAAGAGCTATATCTGCAACATGCTATTCCAGTTGTACTGCAAATATTGAAATGTATCTTTACTTTTGTTTGTTTCTTTGTTAAGCATCTATTAACATTTTACTCTCCTCTGTTTTAACAAATATCCCACCCACCCAGCTAATTCAAGGAATTAGATCATCCAGACATCTTTTTGTGTGTGACTTTCAACCATTCCTTTTAGGTCAGTGTTTCATTTGCATTACATGCTGCTCTGCTATTTCTGTTATTTTTTCAGTTGAAGATAGAGCTGTTTATTTTTTCTTCACTATCAGATTATATTATTACCTAATTCAATGTTAAAAAAATATTTATGACTGGGCATGGTGGCTCACACCCATAATCCCAGCACTTTGGGAGGCTAAGGTGGGAAGATCACTCAAACTCAGGAGTTCAAGACCAGCCTGGATAGCATAGTAAGACCTTGTCTCTACTAAAAATCAAAATAATTAGCTGGACGTAGTGGTGCATGCCTGTAGTCACAAATCCTTGGAAAGCTGAAGTGGGAGAATCTCTTGAGCCTGGAAGGTTGGGTCTGCAGCGAGCCATGATCGTGCCGTTGCACTCCAGCCTGGGTGACAGGGTGAGACCCTGTCTCAAAAAAAAACTCTTTAAAGCCACTTTTATGGCATGTATTTAATTCATGGTTTTATTCTACATTCCTCCTTCCTTTTTTTCTTTCTTTTTTCCTACTTCTTCCCTCTTTCCCTCCCTCTTGTCTCAAACATCACAGTAAATACTCAAAATATTAAACATGATCCCATCTTCATGGAGCTTCCATTTCAGTTGAGGAGACGTTATAAAAAAACAAACCACCAATTTATACATATAGATAAATAATTGTTTTAAATGCTGAGAAAAAGTAAGACAGAATAACAAGGATTAGATTTACAGGATATTTAGCTGATTACTAAAGGAAGATATGGATCTTGCCAGGTGAAGGTGAGGAAGAGCTTCTAGGTAGAGGTAAAAACTTTCAGGAAGAGATTGGAGCTTGATAGGTTTAGCAAACTGAAGAAAGAACATTTCTAGCATTTATTTCGCTTGGTAGAGAACAGCAAACATGAAGTTGCAAGGATAGATTAGAGGACAGATAATGGGAGACATTGTAAGTCTTAGAAGGAGTTTGGGCTGGGTGTGGTGGCTCATGCCTGCAATCCCAGAACTTTGGGAGGCCAAAGTGGGTGGATCACTTGAGGCCAGGAGTTTGAGACCAGCCTGGGCAAAATGGCAAAACCCCGTCTCTATTAAAAATACGAAAATTAGCTGGGCGTAGTGGCTTATACCTGTAGTCTTAGCTACTTGGGAGGCTGAGGCACGAGAATCACTTGAACCCAGGATGTAGAGGTTGTAGTGAGCAGAGATTGTGCCACTGCACTCCAGCCTGGGTGATGGAGCAAGACTCCATCTCAACATAAAAGAAAGGAGTTTGGATTTTTCTTTAAATGAAAAGGAAAGCCAATGTAGTGTTTTAAGGAAGACAGTTACATTACTTTTTAATTTATTATTATTATTATTGCTACTTTAAAGAGAATGGATTGGAAAGGAGCATGAGAGTGTACCATTTGGGAGATGTTGTAATAGTCTAAGCCAGAGATAATCATAACCTTCAAAGGAGTGGCAGTGGAGACAGAGAGAAGACGATGGATTTGTGATTGGCTTTGGAGACAGAATCTGAAAGACTTGCTGATGGATTGTTCATGGAGAAGGGTGTCCTGGGATCCAAAGGAGCAGGGGAATTCTGCAGAAACACAGGGAATGTTTATTAGCAGCATTGGGGTGTTGGGAGTGAGATAGAGCCAGGCTTTTGTTAAAACTAGAAGATGACAGGAAAGTTCTGAGAAGAGGTATGAAGAATTTTCTAATTATAGAGCAAGAGTTCTTGACGATACAGGATTCTATAGATAGTGGCTTGGGTTGGATTAGGAGATACTGAGGGCAATATGGGGTTGACAGAATGGCAGTATATGCTTTGAGACCTTGGACTTCCTGTAGTGACTACAGTGAACAGGGCTTTTAGGCAGGTTGGGATGTACCCTTCTGGGAGAGGAGGGCAATCTGACCCAATTGTGTGATCTTTTGGCTTCCAAGAAATCTTCTTCCCTAGGCTGCAAGGACTCCTACATAGAATTACAAAAAGTTACTGCTACAAAGCACTTAAATAATATTTATTTTTGAAGATAAAGCAAGAAGACTGTCTCCTCTCACTTTTTATTTTTTTTTGTAGCATTAATATTCTGCACATGCCATAGAATGTTTCTCCAACACTGCATAGTTTGAAGTGAAAATACTAGATGAAAAAGGCAAAGCTACATATATTATAGCCATTTAGTTTATGTTTTTAATCCATGTTTGTATAGTTTTATACTGTTTGCATCTTTGTTAAATTTTAGATTTTGAAGTAAGGACTACATTAGTTTTAAATTGCTTTGTGGTGTTAAGAGCAAGTTAGTGATTATATTTTCATATTTAAAAGTAAATATGATGGGTTTATAGGCCACACATATGTTCTGTGTTCATCATATCATTTCACAACTAAAAATGAGTCCCGTCCCTAAATAACTGTTCTCAAAGGTTGTTATTTTTTAAAAAACATGCAATACAGTGTATCAAAAACAAGATTGACAAGTCAGATCCTGGCAAGTATGTATTATGACTAAGAATTTGCTTTCTTTAGGCTGTAATTTTGCTTCAGTGCTTATGAAATTTTGATTTTTGATTACATTGGAATATTAACAGAAAGAAAATAATCCTATTCATTCACAGATCAAAAATAATAGAGTAGAAAATTATTATTGTCAGTATCTGAAACCAGACTTCGCTCATTTAAAAAATATCTTTTGGATCCACCCTATCATAGATCTTCAATATTGTTTCTGAATAGAATAATGAATACTTATAGTGAAGAGCATTCCTCTGTTTCTTTTTTTTTTTTTTTTTTAGTATATATATGTCAGGAAATCTAATAATGATTTGTTCTTCTAGCAGTTTCCGTATGCCCACTGATCCCAAACCTACAATTATGTGCCTCTTGCTATTGAGGCAGTGTGTTGTGCCCTTTGGTGTATTGTGCTGGAAGAACTATTGAAATGTAAAGATATTTGTTAGGAAAAGAACAGGGCTATAGATAGAAATCCATTAAATGCCAGTATTCTCACAGGCAACAAAAGAACAGGTACCAAAGATTGAAAAGGAAATTTTAGAAAGGGAGGAAAACAAGCCAGGAATGTTGAAAATAGGAAACTAAGTGAGCCTCCACAAAAGACAGTTTCAGAATGAAGTTGAGTCAGCAGGATCAGATGCCACAGAGAGAGGCAGGTTAAGATGAAGATGGGACAATGTCTGTTGCATTTGACCATTAGGAACTGAAGACCATAGTGGGGCATTAGAATGGTGTGGCAGAGCAGTATTTCAGTGTGCTGGAAAACAAATGAGAATTGATAAAGTGAAGACTACAACTCTTACAGAGTCCCCTAATCTTTTTCTTAGTTTTCTGTGTAGTCTCTGATTATAGAATTTTGAAGTATGTGTAGTTGAAGTTGAAGATGTTAAATATAAACCATTCATAGATCTTTACACAGTTGCCAGAAATCTATTTTTTATATTAATGTAATAATTTATCTAAAACTAAATATTTAAAGTTTTGAACTCTTAAAGCACAGCTAAATGGAAACCTTTAATGCAAATGTAAATTTTGTTTCTTTTTTTTTTTTTAGTCTTGGCTACTTATGATTCAGCAGACAGAACAACTTAGTAGGATAATGAAGACACATGCAGAGGACTTGAACTCTGGGCCTTTACACAGGCTCACCATGATGATTAAGGACAAGCAGCAGGTGAAGAAAAGTTACTTAGGTGTTCATCAGCAGATAGAGGCAGAGATGATCAAGGTTCGTTTTTCCATATTGAAGTTCTTTCTTGAAATTGTTTTCCAAATTCACTGAAATATTTTACCTTATTTGACTTTAAAAATTATGTATTTGTCATTTCCCAACAAGAAATAGGTTTATGGTCTCTAATAAGTAATATCTTATTGAACATAAAACACTGATTATAGGATATACTGTTACTATATATACTCATATGAAAGAAAAAAGAGGCTCCCAGTTAAACTATGACACAAAGCTTTATCACTTAGGCATTTTAGTTTTTATTTACTGAAATCATTCTCTGAGTCTTTTAAAACTAAATTTGTCTTATCTAATACTTTGCATAAATAAAAAAGAAAATATAGGCAAAATTACTTTTGGTATTCTTAAATTTACATATCCCTAATTTTCCCTACATTCAGAGTCTGTCTCTCTGAATGACATTTTTCAAATTATTTTTATTGTAGAAATTTGTAAATGTATAAAAGAAGAGAGAATAGTAAAATGAACTTCCACCTACCCATCACCTGAATAGTCTCTGTGTTTTCTATACTCCCACCCACTTTTTTTTTTTTTTACATTGGATCATTTTAAAGATATCATTTTATCCATAAATATTTTAGAATGTATAGCTAAAATCAGTGTTCTTGTTAAAAATGTAACTAAATATCATTAATTTGCCTAAAAATAATAATTCCTTCATGTTATTGAATATTCTTTGTTGAAATGGTTGTTGTTTAAGCTTTTATTTATAGTTGGTTGGTTTCAGTCAGGATCCAGATACCATCTATACCTTGCATTTGAATGATACTTTAAAAAAATATGTAGGTTCTCCTTCCTGCCCAGTTTTTAATAAAATGCTATTTATTTGTGGAAGAAACTAGATAATTTGCTCTATATAATTGAATTTCCTTCATTTTGGGTTTTTCTGTTAGCATCTTTTGATGTGGTTTACATATTCCTTCATCTTTAATCTTTTCTGTAAATTAGAATTTAAATCTAGAGACTTGATAAGATTGGGTCTGGCTGGGTATTTTGGGCAAGAATACATCATAGGTGGTAGTATACACTTCCTGCAGTTTTATATCGGGAGGTATATAATGTCGATTTATCTTTTTATTATGTGAAACTTGACTGATTGGTTCCAGTGTTGTCAACCTGAGCAATCGATTCAAAAAGTTTTCTGGCTTATGCCTGTAATCCCAGCACTTTGGGAGGCATGGTGGGCAGATCGCCTGAGGTCAGGAGTTCAAGATCAGCCTGGGCAACATGGTGAAACCCCGTCTCTACTAAAAATACAAAAATTAGGTGTGGTGGTGCACGTCTGTAAACCCAGCCACTTGGGAGGCTGAGGCATGAGAATTGCTTGAACATTGGAGGCAGAGGCTGCAGTGAGCCTAGATCATGCCATTGCCCTAACAGCCTGGGCAACACAGCGAGATTCTGTCTCAAAAAAAAACAACAAAAAAAAGTTTTGTATTAGTCTTTTACCAAAATAGTTTTACAAAGTTAACCAGTGAGATTTTTCTTGAATGGGGAATAATTTGAAACTCATTTATATTTATATTGTAGTTATTTTTGTTTATTCACACAGTGTCATCATCTGTGTCATCGAGAACATTGATGATACAGAATTTCTTTAAAAGGGGTTTGAGATTATTTTCCAAGTTGCTGATAACCCCTTTTGCAACGTTTTGATGCTTTCTCTTTCTTAGTCTTCTCAAATGGCAAATTTGAAGATCTGTAGACAATATCTGGTACACGTATTTTTTCCTTAAATTGCATTTAAATGGCTTTTTGACTACAGTCAAGGACTTGCAATTGTGTCATTGTTCCATAGAAATAATATCTTAATTGTATTTTTAATTACAGAACATATTTCTGCACTTACCAGGTTAATTTTTTTTTTGAATTTTAGATAATGGCAGTGTTATTCTGTATTTGCCACCCCCTTTCCCTGCTGCCTTTTTTTTTTCGAGTCAAGTTTCAGCCAGGCTGGAGTGCAGTGGTGTTATCTTGGCTCACTGCAACCTCTGCCTCCCGGGTTCAAGCAATTCTTGTGTCCCATCCTCCCGAGTAGCTGGGATTATAGGTGTGTGCCACCACAGCCTGGCTCGTTTTTTGTATTTTTAGTAGAGACAGGGTTTTGCTGTGTTGGCCAGGCTGGTCTTGAACTCCTGACCTCAGGTGATCCACCTGTTTTAGCTTCCCAAAATGCTGGAACTACAGGCGTGAGCCACTGTGCCTGGCCTGATTTGCTATTCTTTTGTTTGTTTTCACATGCTATTGAATTTAGTACTGATTTTAAAAACATATTTGTAGTTTATTTTCTATAATTGTATATTAAAGAACAACTCTGACCTGTAAGTAGTAAAGTACACATCAGTTAATACTTTGGAATTTAAGTTCTTGAGCAATTTAAATTTAAACATTTTAAAACATTTATGCATTTTGTTTCTTTGACAGGTTACAAAAACAGAATTGGAGAAGTTAAAATCCAGCTATAGACAATTAATAAAAGAAATGAATTCTGCCAAAGAGAAATATAAAGAAGCTTTAGCTAAAGGTAAGGCAAAATTTTAAAAATTGTTTACTTAGGTGATTTTTATTCTTACTATTACAATAGAAAATAATGTCAAAAACCACAATTACTTTTGCACCAACCTAATAGTTGTTTTTTTTTTTCTGTCCATCATTTCCATCATTGTTGTTGCTTTGAACCAGGATCTGATCAATGTAAACATACTGCATTTGATTGTTGTGTCGGTAGACTCTTAATCTTTTCATCTAGAACAGTCCTCCTACTTTTTACTGTATTTTTTTTTCCCCAAGAGTACAGTTTTCTTGTAAAATTTCTCATATGCTGGATTGTCTGACTGCATTCTCATGACTACTATTTAACTTGTCCCTAATCTATCCCCTATATTTCCTGTAAATTTAAGGATAGTTCTAGAGGCTCGACTAGATTCAGGTCAAACATTTTTGACAGGACTGCTTCATAGATGACGATGTATACTTTATGTTGCATCCTACCAGGAGGCACATTAAGTTGGCTTGTCTTACTCTTAGTGCTCAGTCAAGTTTGATTACTTAAGTCAAGTAGTGACTGCCAGATCTCTCCACTGTGAAGGTACCTTTACCCCATGTAACTGATAAGTAACTGCAGAGAGATACATTGGCATGTGTGGATAACCTATCCTCCAACAACCTTCTGTCCATTGGCATCACTTGGCATCCATTGATCATTCTTGCCAGTAGCAATATTACATTAACATCCTGTCATTTGTAAAATGCCTAGCAGATGACTGGGAGGAGAAAGGAGGGTTGAGGGAAGAAACAGAGAACAGTGCAAAGAGGGAATAAAAAGCTGGAAATGGGAAAACAATTCCAAAAGCTTTGCTGATACCCTTCTCTTTTTACGTTTAACTCTTTCCAAAGTCATGAACTCTTTAAGGTAATGCAGGCTTGAAGCAGTGAGCAAAGAAAGCCTCTTGCTCAGGGCTGTCACTCTAGTAAGAGGTGAATGCATTTCAGTTAGAAGTGTTTCTTGACAGCAGCATAAAATAACAGGTACTTAAATGCAAAATACACAGATTTTACCTTCCTATTGCAGGTTAAATTCTGAATACCTTTAGTTGGTTAAACACATGGTTAGGTTTAGCCATAAAACAGTTTTGTGAATCCATAAAGCTTTGTGTCTGCACTAAGTAGTATAAAGGAAATAATATATTTTAAAAATCTTTTTAATTGTATATATTAGGAAATAAATAATGCTCTGAGATTTATCTCTTAGGAGACATCCAGAGGTTTGTTGGGGGTTCTGGCAAATATGGGGAATTCAGGTACTGTTTGCCATCATGTGCCTTAACAACTCCCTTTGACTATCATCAATGCTGTTGTTGTTCGTGGGAAATAATTCTAATATGGGTTTTAGTCTGTTAATTAATTTAAAAAATCATGAATAGTGAAGGTTTGTGTCAGGAGTAACAAAGTAGTATTTAAGCTGCTGAACCTGCAGTCTGTTTTATACCATCAGGTGAGAGTGAGAGCCGAGTGGGAGGTCTTTCTGGACCAATGGTGTGCAAAATACTCAGCCTTCCTTTCTGTTTTTCCTGTGTCTTACCAGTGAAGAAGTGATGGATGATTGTGGGAATAAATTATGTTGTAAGTACCTGGGATTAGTAAGGATTAGTATTTTAGTATGTATTTGTATAGATGCTGTTTAGGTCTTTTTTTGAAAATCAACTATTGAAATTATGAGATAATCTGAGAAATTTTACCCAGACAGGATATTTGATATTAAGGAAATCTTGTTATATTATAGGTTTGATAATGAGACTGTGATTTTTTTTTGAGGTTCTCTTTATTTTTGAGGTAAATGCAGAAATATTCACAGCTGAAATGATGTGATATCTGAGGTTTGCTTCAAAATTATCTAAAGAATAGGGAGTAGGTAGATAGAAGTGTAGATGAAACGTGATTGGTCATGAGTTGATGATTGTTCAAACCAGTTGATAGGTACATGGAAATATTGAACAATTCTTTCTACTTTTATATAGGTTTGGATTTTTCCACAAAAATTATATAAAAATAAAGAATGTCACCATAAGAAATGAAGGAAACTAGACATTGGCATAGGCAAGGATTTCATGACCAAAAACCTAAAAGCAAATGCAATAAAAACAAATAGCTGGGACCTAATTAAACTAAAGAGGTTTTGCACAGCAAAAGGAACAGTCAGCAGGGTAAACAGACAACCCACAGAGTGGAAGGAAATCTTCAAAATCTATACATCTAACAAAGGACTAAAATCCAGAATCTACAACAAATCAGTAAGAAAAAACTAACAATCTCATCAAAAAGTGGGCTAAGCACATGAATAGACATGAATAGACAATTCTCAAAAGAAGATATATAAATAGCTAACAACCCTATGAAAAAATGCTCAACATCACTAATTTTCAGGGAAATGCAAATCAAAACCACAATGTGATACCTCCTTACTCCTGCAAGAATGGCCATAATCAAAAAATTAAAAAAAAAATTGAAAAAAAAAGCAGTAGATGTTGGCATGGATACAGAGCTCAGGGAATGCTTCTACCCTGCTGGTGGGAATGTGAACTAGTCCAGCCACTATGGAAAGCAGTGTGGAGATTCCTTAAAGAACTAAAAGAACTATCATTTGATCCAGTAATCCCACTACTGGGTATCCACCCAGAGGAAAAGAAGTCATACGAAAAAGATACTTGCACACGCATGTTTATAGCAGCACAATTCACAATTGCAAAATTGTGGAACCAACCCAAATGTCCATCAATAAACAAGTGGATAAAGAAACTGTAGAAGAGTATATAAAGAGTGCACCTGCCTTGCACTCTTCCCCTCAAAATCTCTTCCCCTCAAATCCCCAAAGTCCACTGTATTATTCTTATGCCTTTGGGTCCTCAGAGCTTGGCTCCCACATATCAGTGAGAACATAACTCAGGTTTTCCATTCCCGAATTATTTCACTTAGAATAGTAGTCTCTAGTCTCATCCAGGTCACTGCAAATGCTGTTAATTCATTCCTTTTTATGGCTGAGTAGTATTCCATCATATATATATATATATATATGGAAAACAAAGAAATCAAAGAAAGGTCTCAGATATTTCAGTATCAGATTATTCTGAACCTATTCCTTATCATTTTATATTTATATGCTAATACATTTATGTATTAATTCCTTCATTTACACTCATTTAAGAAGATTTTCTTCTGTTTGGTAAATGCCAGAGATATAAAAATGAAAAGGATGTGGACTCTACCTTCAAGCCATTGAAAGTTGAATTTTTTTTTTTTTTGAGATGGAGTCTCGCTCTGTCACCAGGCTGGAGGGCAGTGGTGGGATCTTGGGTCACACTGCAGCTTCCACCTCCTGGGTTCAAGTGATTCTCCTCTTCAGCCTTCTGAGTAGCTGGGACTACAGGTGCCCGCCACCATGCCCAGCTAATTTTTGTATTTTTAGTAGAGACGGGGTTTCACCGCGCTGGCCAGGATGGTCTCTTATCTCTTGACCTCATAATCCACCCGCGTTGGCCTCCCAAAGTGCTGAGATTACAGGCATGAGCCACCACGCCTGGCTGAAAGTTGAAATTTTTATAAAATCAAATTTTTACCCAATTAAAAAAATTTTCAAGCCTGTATAAAAGTTGAAATGATAACATAATGAACTCCTGCATACTTTTTACCTGGATTCACAAATTGCCAAAATTTTGTCATGACTGGGCTTCTGCTGTCTCTATTTCTGGCTCTGTCTTTCTATGTGTATATGTATGAACATATTTATATAAAGTTTTCTTTTGATGAAGCACTTGAAAGCATGTTGTAACATCATAACATTTCCTTATAAATATCTAAGCATGTATTTTCTAAGAACTATATTTTCTAACACAACCCAAGTTAGCATGCCCAAGGAATTAAACTTTGATACACTAATAAAACTAAATACATACTCTGTTTTCAAATTTATGACAAAAATGTCCTTTATAACCTTGTTTATTTTGGATCCAGGGTCCAAATAAAGGATTATATATTGTGTTAATTGCCATGTAGAAGAATTTCCCTTACTTTCTTTATTTTTTAATAGGTTTATTTTGATACAATTAACATCCAACAGCACTTATTTAAAATATTTATTTTGATAAATTTTGATATATGTACACACCTGTGAAATTATCACTACAATCAAGATAATGAACATGTCTTTCACCCCTGAAAAATTCCTGGTGCCTTTTTGTAATCCCTGTCTTCCACCTCTCTGTGATCTTCCATCTTCTATCTCCAGGCAACTACTAAACTGCCGTCTGTCACTATATAGTTTGGTTTTCATTTCTTAGAATATTTAAAAAGGAACCATACAGTACACACTCTATTTTGTCTGCCTTCATTTGTTCAGAATAGTTATTTTGAAATCTATCCATGTTGTTGCATGTACCAGTAATTCACTTTTTAAAATTGCTCATTAGGACTCTATTGTATGGGTCTACTACAGTTTGCTTATCCATTTTCCTGTTAATAGGCATTTGAGTTGTTTCCAGTATTGGGCCATTACAAATAAAATGACTGAACATTTATGTACAAATCTTTGTATGGATATGTGGTTTTATTTTCCTTACATTAATACCTAGAGGGGGAATGACTAAATCATATATTGAGATATGTTTAAGTTTTGAGGAGCCTACCAATCATTTTCCCAAAGTATCTGTACCATTTTGCATTCTTTCTAGTAGTGTATGAGTTTCCTCCACATGTTGGTAGTACTTGGTATGACATATTGGTAGTACTTGGTATGTTTCCTCCACGTATTGGTAGTGCTTGGTATGACCAGCCTTTGATCTTAGCTGTGTATCTCATTCCAGTTTTACTTTTCATTTTCCTAGTCACCGATGATGTTGAACATCTTTTCATGTGCTTGTTTGCTATTCATATCTTCTTTAGAGACGTACGTGTTCAAACCTGTTGCCTATGTTTAAATTGGGTTGATTTGTTATTACTGAGGTTTGAGAGTTCTTTATATTTTCTGCATAT